TGTATTTTATATCCGTAGACAATAAAAAAAAAAAAAAAAGAAGAAGGAAATTTCTATCTATTTTGTAGGTTATTGCAATCAACACCAATCACAAAAGAACAATTTGGAGGTCCTATTCCCATCAGCTGCTGGAGCTGTTTGCGAGGTGTTTGCAATGTCTTTTTTTTTTTTTTTTTTTTTTTTGAAAACTAGATGTTAAAATCTATATTTACAACCAGCTGAACTTATCTCAAAATATTTGCTATGAGCAAATTATCAGTCATTGTTGTTAAACACTTAGTAATTGCAAAATCAACCATTGCATTTCACAAAGTGGATGTGTATTCCAGTAGTGTATTATATTTATTATCATTACTTGATGAATGCTATATTGATTCTTATTGTTAGTTGTGTTTTCAACATGTTGTTTGAAGCAAGAAGGCAATAATCACCACAAGGAAACTTTTATGATATTTTGTTACCATCATCACTCACAAAATCATCATCATATTGTTAGAATAGATAAATAAATTCAAATTATGTATTCTTGCCATCCTGTAATAACAGTACACGTGTATCACTTTGCCCTTTGTAAGCTATATATAGGGACCCATTGTAATACGGCAGAATAGGCTTTCATTAATAAAATCCAAGTTTCTTTCCCATTTTTCTGGGTTTCTTCTCCATCGATTTTCCTCATCTGTTCATGAATTTCATCATGGTATCAGAATAAGGAACGATCCCCTTTCCATAGATCAATAGCGAATCCGGCATCCATTGCCTCACACACCGAAGTCCATTCCGGCATTCTCCATTCTCATCAGGTTATCTCACCGTCTATGAAATTTGTTATTATCCAACCTCAAATTTCTTGTTCCAAATCAATTGACTCCGGACAACTACCCCATCTAGAGCAATCAAATCGTTAAAGTCCTCAAGGCAAATGGATTCATCATCTTTCTTGATCCTCAAACGGCTTCCGCGTCGTCCACAAATGCATCAGTAAATGAAAATACAGATCCAAATCAAGATTCCTCCAGCTGGCTAGTCATCGATCAAAACCTGGCTGCCGCATTGTGCTCCACCATCTCCCCTTCGGTTCTCTCATATGTTCTCCATCTTGAATCTACGAACGAGATATGGTGTGCACTGCAGACAAGGTTTCAATCTTCAAACAGGTCCAAAGTTATCCAGCTCACGAAAGAGCTTCACAACGTTTCCATGAAGAATCTTTCAATGTCTCAGTACCTAACTGAGATCAAGAAGATTGTAGACAGCATTGCCTCGGCGGGATCATCCGTCGATCCCGAGGACGTTATGATATATATTCTGAACGGATTACCTCCTTCCTACCTACCGTTCACTACATCCATCCGTACGATGCAATCCTCTCTCAGTCTTGGTAGTCTTTACGCTCTCTGATAAATGAGGAAATTCACCTCCAGACTACAGCATTAAAGTTTCCCGCAACGACCGACAACCAAGTAGCTCTCTATGCATCCAAAGATCATGGTCGTAGAGGCAGAACGCGTCCGGGAACTCAAACCAGCCGATCTGCCCAGTATTCCAGCACCACATGTCAAATCTGCAAAAAGAAAGGCCACTCTGCCGATGCGTGTTGGCATCGTCTCAACCCGAACTACGTTCCATCCCAAAACTCTTCTAAGAACAATCAGACACTTCTTTCCAACGCCGATCACAACACCTCAGGCGACTGGTATATCGACTCTGGAGCTTCCACCCATATGACGAATTCGGCTGACAACCTTATTTCCTCAAACGTGTACAACGGTACAAACATGGTGACTATAGGGGACGGAAGATCAGTACCCATTGCTCACTCTGGCACGGGACTACTTCCTACCCCCTCCCATAAGCTTTTTCTATCTCAACTCCACCACACTCCATCTATCTCTCACAATTTACTTTCTGTGTCTAATCTTGTTAAAGATAACAACATCTCCATAACTTTTGACTCCAACGGGTTTATTTTTAAGGATTCGACGACCAACAAAATCAAGCTCAGCGGCCCATGTAAAGACGGATTATATCAGCTAGCCATCAAGCCACTGCACGGACAACCTACAGGTCTCACGGCGGCAAGAAACTAGTCTCCCAACTAGCACCATAGGCTTGGTCACCCTAATCACCGGTTACTCAAGCACTTCGCCAAGACAAACCCTGCTATCAACATTTCTAATACCTCTTCTTTTTGTAATTCATGCAAACTTTATAAAGGACACAATTTATATTTTGAAATTTCTGAAAATCGTAAACAGGCTCCTTTAGAGCTCATACATTCCGATGTTTGGGGACCGTCTCCGGTCCCCTCCCAACAAGGTTTTAGATACTACTTAATATTTGTTGACGACTATTCGCGTTTCACCTGGTTATTTTCATTAATGTTCAAATCTGAAGTTACACAAATATTCATCAATTTTACTAAGTTCATTGAGCGTCATACAAACTGCAAGATCAAAGCCATTCGCACGGACGGCGGAGGAGAATACGTCAATCAGCAATTTCAAACGTTCATCAAAACCACGGGCATTCTCCATCAAACTTCATGCCCCTACACGCCGGAGCAAAATGGAATAGCTGAACGCAAGCATCGTCACATCGTGGAAACAATTCGAACGCTTCTACAAACAGCCCACTTACCTCACTCGCTCTGGTTAGATGCGGCGATCACCGCCACGTATCTCATAAACAGAACTCCGTCCGCAAAAATCAACAACATATCACCCCTTCAACTAATGTTCAACATCAAGCCCTCTTACCATCATCTCCGGACTTTCGGATGCGAGTGTTTTCCTCTACAACCTCCTCATAATCGCACTAAACTAACTCCAACTTTTACTTCTTGTATTTTCTTAGGCTATTCGAAAAATAAAAAAGGTTACAAATGTTGGGATCCAACAACCAATCGCATAGCAATCTCGCGACATGTTCATTTCAACGAATCTACCTTCGCTTTCAAAAACACAATGTCTAAAGAACCTCCTCCAGAATTGATAAGGAACCCGTCTCTACTCCTACCGGTCTCCACAATTCGCATTCTAGATGCCAAGACTAATCCTGAACCTCTAGCCAATCACGATACCTATTCTCCAGTAACAACCAACAATCAAGATCATACTAATATAGTATATGTTGCTCCCATCTTGCAGGATTCCTCTAAACGAGTCCCAACTACGCATCCCATGGTTACAAGACGTCAAACCAGCTCCCTCAAACCAGCTCGGAGGTTCAATTTACTTCATAACATGCAAGATTCCACACAACAGTCAAACACTATCCAATCACATATACCGAAGTTTCAAAATCGGTTCACTGGAGAAAAGCAATGGCAGAAGAATTCTTTGCCCTTCAAAAATAGGGAACGTGGACTCTGGTACCCGTTCCCATCAATGCACCAATTCTCGGATCAAAGTGGACATACCGCACAAAATGCAACTCAGACGGGTTCGTGGCTTGCTTCAAAGCAAGATTGGTAGCTCAAGGCAACCGACAAGAATACGGGTTGGATTACAACGACACCTTCAGCCCAGTCGCAAAATTACCAACCATTCACATTCTGTTCACTGTCGCTCTCTTCTACCAATGGCCGGTTCAACAGCTCGACGTCTCAAATGCGTTCCTTCACGTCAATCTCACCGAAACGGTATACATGCGACAACCTAAGGGCTTCGAGGACGCATCTCAACCAGACCACGTATGCCTCCTTCGCAAGGCAATCTATGGGCTTAAACAAGCCTCGCGCCAATGGTACACCACCTTCACAAACTATCTACTAAGCCTTGGATTCAAGCATAGCTAGGCCGATCAGTCTTTGCTTACCAAACACAAAGGCCGCACTCAAATATATCTACTAGTATATGTCGACGACATACTACTAACAGGAAACGATCCCTCGGCCATCTTGGAACTCCTCAAACAACTCCAGACAACGTTCACAATGAAGAATCTAGGACCGGCAAGTCATTTCCTAGGAATCAAGATTGAGACATCCAAAGATAAGTATCTTATATCACAAAGCTCTTATGCTCAATCTATCTTACAAATAGCTGATCTAACACTCTGTAATCCGGTTGCTAATCCATCTTGTACAAAAATCTCTCCCCAGCTCTCGGACGACATACCATGCTTCGATCAAACGACGTACCGGCAGCTGATCGGTTCCCTACAATACTTAACTCTTACACGGCCGGACATAGCATTCACGGTCAATTCCCTTTCTCAACACATGCACGAGCCGGAAGCAACTCATACTCATCTCTTAAAATGCCTCCTAAGGTATATCAAAGGGACAATTTATCTTGGTATACCCATAACAAGATCAAACTTACTCCTTTGCACGTACTTTGATGCGGACTGGGCGGCAGACCCGATCACAAGAAAGTCCATCTCCGGCCATTGCACGTTCCTTGGCGATACCATAGTTTCTTGGACTGTCAAGAAACCATCCACGGTGTCGAGGTCTTCAACGGAGTCGGAATACCGAGCTCTAGCCGCAGCCACCGCGGACACACTATGGATTAAACGGCTTCTCTCCGATTTCCACATCCCGCACACCACACTGGTGGACATCTTCTGCGACAATACTTAGGCAATAGCCTTGGCAAACAACCCTATTTTTCATGCTAGAACCAAGCACATTGAAATCGATCAAAGATTCATCCGGGATCATATGCAGAACAACAATATTCGGCTTCTACCAATTAGCACAATCGATCAAATAGCCGACATTTTCACAAAATCGTTAAGCACGCCGAGATTCAAAACACTTCGCTCCAAACTAACTGTTGCTCCACAACTATCAGTTTGCGGGGGAATGTTAGAATAGATAAATAAATTCAAATTATGTATTTTTGCCATCCTGTAATAACAGTACACGTGTATCACATTGCCCTTTGTAAGCTATATATAGGGGCCTATTGTAATACGGCAGAATAAGCTTTCATTAATAAAATCCAAGTTTCTTTCCCATTCTTCTGGGTTTCTTCTCCATCGGTTTTCCTCATCTGTTCATGAATTTCATCACATATAATTTCTATCATGATTTTTTTTTATTAATCCCTTATAGTACTGGTCTAACAACAGTAAACACCAGTCATAAAAGTTTCAGCCAATACACATATCCGTCACAAATTTTCTCATGATCAAAAGTTCAACGGTCCTTTCCATGACAATATGATAATAACCAATTTCCTAAGATAACATTAGTAAAAAATTTCTCTTATATATGAGATAAATCTAATCTTCTAAAAAAAAAAAAGAGAGGGCATTGTTGTATTGATAAATCACCAGCAACAAATGGATGAGCATTTAGAGGCCAACTTTGAGGGAGGAATATATATGAAGAATATGTTCCCAAACGTAATCCATATCCTCAAGCAAAGGCAGTGGACCATATTGCATGTACTCAGGCACACAATCTTCCTTCAACCTGGCAAGAATCTCCACTTGATCCACACAATAAGACCAGTGGTTATCCTACGTTGCATGCTTTTGCGATAACGCGCGTGTCCATATGAATTCGTTACTGGCGAATGTGTTCGCTTGGATTCTTTCAATGATTCCACTAAATTATTTAAGCAACCCGACAATTTGCAGCCCCATTAAATGGCTGTGGTGATGGGGCATTTTTTGTTATTTTGTGGTTTTAAACGAAAATAATATATTATGGGGCTATGTATTACATTAAAAAAAGAGACAAATAAGCATATAAATTCATCATGATTTGATAGTTACTATTAGGGGTGTCACGTAGGATTTGGATTCAACTCGAAATTGATCCGCCCTCAATATTTGATCTCTTAACCCGATTATGCAAACAGGTCAGCAATTGAAACCCAGTCCCGACCCACACTAAACACAGGTCAACCCAACCTGGCATGTAGACTCGATTGGGCGAGGGAGAGAGGCGTGAGGACAGGTGGTTCACGGACATAAGACACCGGGGCGAGGCGAAGCAAGCGGGTGCATCCTTGCGAGCGCGAGCATGACGAAGCGCCAGAATAGGCGATGGCGTGGTGAGCAGAGTGGATCATGATATGGGTTGATTTCAAGTTTTCAGTTTGACGTGAACCCGACCCAAAATTAAAAATAGGTCAAAATACAAAACCCGAACTCAAACCATTTTCCAAACGGGTCAATCCAGGCCCAGAATTTTTGGATCAATTCATGTCAGATTTTTGGGACGTATCAAATATTGATCACACCCGTAGTCACTTCTAGAAAAATTGGCTTTCATAACACTTATTTTGGGCTATTATAGTGATTATAAATGCTACAAAAAGATCAGCAATAGTTCTAGAACCGCTGAAACATTACCATGCTTGTTATTCACTGCAAAGAGCTTGCGCATCATTTTCCAACCGTTGGGGAAGGAAATTGCAACATTATTTCTTCCAACAGTTTAAACTGTTGAAATTGAAGCAGATTTGTGTCATCACCGACAGCAGTTTTAGGCTTAGCTTGGGACATCTTTCTTATTATTTTCTAAAGCAGGTTTATTTAATAAAAATTTCTAGTTTAAAAAATTTTATACGAGAAAGCTGTTTTAGAAAGAAGTAAGAAAACTGTTCCAAATGAAACCTTAATCACTACAAATAATTGCGGGTTTAACTTTTGCTATTACTATTATGCGCTAGCATTTTTTAAATCGCTGCTAAATAATGCTGCAATTTAATCTCCATTTTAGTATGAGTTGATCATTATTCATATAAATTTAAGATATAATGATAATGGTAAAAGTAATTAATTAAATTATTTTTTAGTCAAAATTTAAAATTATATTACAAAATTATCTTTGTTATGATTTTTAATATAGTAATCATGCTTTTTGAAGAAAATTCATTATAAAGAGTATGACTAAGCCATATTAGACAATAAAATTTGTTGATTGACTATGTATTTTATGATAGTAAAATTAATTTTTACTCGTTTGACAGAAGTTAGGTGAACTAATATTAGAAAATTTCTACAAATTCTTTAAAATAAATTATTTGAAAATATTAAACAAGTATGCATTTTAAAATAGAGTTGAAATATTTTTTTTAAAGATAAAAGATACGCCTAATCTATTTGATAGTATCACAACAATAATTTATCATGGATTTTGTTTTCAATTGTCTATTAGTTGCTTTTGATAGATAAACTTTATTAAAATTCTTTTTTAATTCACTAAAATTTTTCTTATTATTACTTGTTGCGTCCTAAAAAATTTGAGGCGGTAGAGAGTGATATAGTTTAGCGACCTAGCTTTGTACAAAGATCCAACACACAAATAAATAAGAGAGTATGATTATATAGTTTGTAAGGGAGACCATAATTTTTACATGAAAACCCCTGAAAATGAGAAAAATCACAGGGTCTAACCTAGTTTGAATGAATCCACTAATGTTGCAATTGATTACAAATGAGTACCTTCTTTAGAAGGAAGTTCTTGACTCGATGTAGCAAATATACATCATACAGAGTGCATTATATGCTAGGAGTTGGAAGAATCGATGTTAAATATGTTCGTTTAGGGCGGCAAAATCATAGTCGTCAAGTGATGTAGGTCAGAAAGACTATAGTCAGATGATAGTGGTCGGAAGGACCGTAGTCGACGGGCAACTGTGGTCACTAGGGCTGTAGTTGGCATTGGTGGTTCGAAGATCATAGTCAGCGGGTGATAGAGGGTAGTAGGACCGTAGTTGGGCAATAGTGGTTGAAATGATTGTAGTTCGTGGGCGACGGATGTCAGGAGGACCATAGTTGGATGACGGTGGTTAGAAGAACCGCAGTCAGCGGGCGACGATGGTCGAAAAGGAGGTAGTTGGGCGACAGGGGTTGAAAGGATCAGAGTCAGATGTTGGTGGTCGGAAGGACTGTAGTTAGCACACAACAAAGGTCAAAAGGATCGTAAGTGATCGACGAACAGGTGGAATTTCGACGACGGTCGGAAAGAAACTCTGGCGGTGGTCGGTGGACAGGCGGTAGTCCGGCGGTGGTCAGTGCACTGGCGGGAGTCCGTCGGTGGTGGGGAAGAACTCTGGTGGTGGTTAATGGATGGGCATAAGTCTGGCGGTGATCGGAGGACTCGCGGAAGTCCGACAGTGGTAGGCGGACTTGCGGGAGTCCGTCAGTGGTCGGGAAGAACTCCAGCAGTGGTCGGCGAACGGGCGAGAGTCTATAGGTGGTCAGAAAGAACTCCGGCGATGATCGGAGGACTGGCAGAAGTCCGACGGTGGTCGGCGGACTGGCGGGGAGTCCGTCGATGGTCGGGAAGAACTACGACGATGATTCGGGGATGGGCAAAAGTCCGCGGTGGCCGACGGATTGGCAGAAGTCCGTCGATGGTCGGGAAACACTTCAGCGGTGGTCGTTGGACCGAAAGAAGTCCGTCGGTGGACTGACATAAGTCTGACGATGGTCGGTGTCAAGTAAGCTCCCAAATTCTACCCTTCTCCTCCTTTTTTCTCTCTTCATGTGAAAAATGAAGGCCTATTTATAATTTTTTGAGAGAGTCATGACATGTAAAAATGGGGAAGATCAAGGTCAAAATGGGAGTGGTTTGAATGGACGGACGATATTGATCCATTTGATCGCGGACCGTTTACTGGTAATTTGAATGTATTAAAGATATTGGAATTTAGTGATATTGGGCTCGTTGGATTCATCTTGTCGAGCCACTCAATTTGAATATAAGCTCCTCACGTTTGAAGTTTATCTGGTATTCTAAATTAAGCTTTGAATAGTTCAAATATGTTTTGGACCATTGATTTGGACTCATTTAGGCTTGGATTTGGCTAGTTTTGGTGTCAATTGGTTCGCCTTTCCAAGACGTTCAATTCGACTATAAGTTTGCTATAATCAAAGTTCGGATTTCCAAGACGTTCAATCCAAGAAACCTGTAATCAGATTTCAACTATTTTTCTATGGACACCCAAATTCTACAATCCCTATAATGGGTATCAAACAATTAGTTTGAAATGCAGTCTTCTTCAGTTCTAGAAAAGAACAATTTCTTATACCTTCATTACAACTAGTTCAAGCGCCAACGGTTTTCTCATTTCTTTGGTGATTTTCACGTAAAAATTTATATCCGCTACAACTTCTATTCATACATGTTGGATCATTATAAAGATAGGGGTGTCAATATTTGACACGACACGAAAATTCGACTCGGACCCGACCCAGAAAATCCTGGTTGGACACGACCCATTTGAAAAACGGGTCGGGTTTGGGTTGACCCGGCGGGTTGCCGGGTCAACCCAAAAACCCGTTTATTTTAAAAAAATTTGGATTCCCGCCCTTGCCCGCTGCTCTTGCCCCCTGCCAGCTGCTACCGCCCGTGCTGCCCGCTGCCCTGCTGCCCCGCGCAGTCTCCCGCTGCCCCGCGCGCCTCACGATGCTGCTCCCGCCCGCTGTCCCATTGCCTCGCGCCTTTCTGACCCGCTTGAACCCGGGTCAGGTTCGGGTCGAGGGTTCGACCCGAACCTGACCGGTGACCCGAAATTGACACCCCTGATAAAAGATAAAATATTATAAATTTTCTAGCACATGAAATATATATACATAAGAATTGTGTAATTTGGGAATCGTGTAAGCACTTAAATG